CACACACACACACACACACACACACACACACACACACACAGGGTTCAGTATCTGTGGCCTAGGATACTTGAATACATGAAGGCTGGAGTAGCTAACGATTGAACCTCTGGTAGTCGACACTCTGCATCCACAGCTGCCCACATGTATATGCCCTCTTTGTATAATACAGTTACAATAATTCAGTATAATTAGACCTTCGATGTCGGCATTTCTTCCATAAACTGTAGCATAGTAATAAAAATGTCTTTACTGCATTTGTCCCTGTAGGCAGTCCGTAGCACCCATGGCCTGGAGGTTCCTCTGAGCCATGATGGAACGCTCCTACTTCCACAGGAATACATCACCTATCTAACACAGGTAGCCAATCAGAAGATGGAGGAGAACCATAGAAGGATATCCAGGTCAGTGTGTAGGTTGGCTGTAAAGTCAGAGACATACTGGAGTCTCACTGGATTTCCTGTCAAACATGTGATTTTCTCTCTCTCTCTGCTGCCAGCAGGTTCTACCAGAACCTCCACTCAGCCCTGCTAACAGAGAAACTCCAAAGAGTCCAGATCCAAGATCCTCATGATGCTCTGGAGACAGAAAAGGGGACAGACGAAGAGGAGGAAAAGGAGGAGAGGAAAAAAACTAGTGTATATAAACGGAGGCGAAAGAGGGAGCAGCATGAGACAGATGGTTGCCATGGTGATGGTGACTGTAGTGTGCCAGGGCTAGAAGACTGTCTGGATCTGTTCACGTGAACTAATGGCTCAGTTTCACAGACTGGTTTCACTGGATTCTAGAGTTTCCAGTTTTCAGTTTTAGAGATTGCTAGTGTTGCAGTGATGATGGGCTTTCATCACTGTGATCACCATGGTAACAACGACATTAAAGCAAATACCAAAACAGAAAGGACTGAAGGGATCAGTTATTTGAGTTCTTATTTGTGTATAGAACGAAAAAATAATTCAAAGCATAATATGTGAACTTAGAGTTTATTTACATGCTGTGACCACTAGAGTGCAGCAGTGCTCAGAAAAATGAATGACTTGAGTTACATTAGAAAGGAGGGCGAACACCGTGACCTGAAATACAGAACCTGACAGTATGAAGCAATCCTGGCACATAAAACTAAGACATTGTATTTACTGAAACATATTTTGATGCTAACACATTCAGAAACATCTTTCCTTTGATTATCTCTGAGTCTTAGGCTGTATCCCAATTCAGGGTCTGCCGCCTTAAAGGCTGCATTTTAAGGCCGATTACGTCACAGCGACGCGACGAAGGCTGTCCCAATTGAAAGGCCGTTCAATAGTTGACCTTAGAAAATGTGATGATTTTATGGATAATTAAAGTCAGTCATATATCCACAAACACAACAAGCTGAAAGTCAGTGATGCTGCTCGGTTTGCAGTCCTGAA